TGGGGAGTAAGAGACGCAAAGACTTCAGAGCGCAGAGGGCTAGAGTGGGCAGACAACAAAGAGCAGTGGACGCAAAGCTGCACACAGCTGATAAAAACCTTGACTGCAACCCCTGCTCAGCTTTTTTGAAGCGGCCGGGTGCGACTAGACTCGAAGAGAGGATAAAAATGAACGATGAAGGGTTCGTCGTTGATCAGGCCCTTTCTGGAATGCGGCACGCATTCTGCTTTCATCCTAAAGTCGTAGCGGCTTAATGATTGTGATGGGGTTTCTACAACGAACAGCGGTGGCCAGTCGATGAACAAGTCAGTGTTCTCATCCTCCCACACCAATCTGGTGCCAAGTTACCGTCCGCTGTGGGGAGAAGGCTTGACAGGCGAGTGAGGGAGTCGGTCCGCAGATTGATCCTCTGATCACGCGCGTGGGAAGCGTGCCGCTTGCCACCAGTCTCCCTGCTCCTCAAGTGAGATATACTTACATGTAATTTTTGGAGGCTTTTTCCCTAGCTGGTTTTATTCACATGTAATTCTGAGTGTTATTAAATAACATTTTGATGAAATTGTTCTCACGCACTCCACAGAGAGTAATGATCTCTGCAAATGACAGGGCGCGTAAAGCTACGTGGTTTGGAGGGCAGCCAGGCCCCACCAATGATTGCATCCTGAGCCCGCTTCAATTGGTTGGAAATCTGTCGTGGCTGCCCTCAAAGCCACGCCCCATCACACGTCATTTTTGCAAGGGATCATTACACTGTTCTCTAGCAAGGTAACCATTTTCATAGCCAGTAAGATAACAGGAAACTTTCCAGCTGAGATCCTTTCCTCTGAACTATACCATTCCATCGGCAGCGAAGTTGGATTCACCGTTTGTTTTTCCAAATCTTGATCCAATCACTTTGGAAATCGGTCTTTTCCTTGACTCAAAACTTTTCGAACATTTTCAAAGGTAAGAATATTAACTTTGTTAGGTGTTCTGCATCACCTACCCGAGGTTTTCATGCTTTCAGGGATTTTATTCAAGACGCTGAACAACATCTACTCGACTTCTCATTAGCTTTAATCAATAATGTTCATGTACTCTATCAACAACCCACACTGTCTCCAAACCTGGAAATTGTCATCGTTAGATATGAAATGTGGAAATCACAACCGGTAAGATTTTATTCACTCAGAAGCAGTGTAGGATGAGGTCGCCATACCACACCTTGTCAGTTCGTGGCGCCCCCAGACCTAACGGTAAGGAGAGGAATTGTTTCGAGGTGGTTCTTGGCATCTTCCCTGAGGTGACTGTGAATAAGGAAGTGGCGTAAGAAAATCGACTGCAAGCGGATTCTTTCGCATCACGGCCCATTACGATTAAATGAGGCTGCATTATGTCGAGTTAACAACCTAAGTACTCTAATAGTTTGTGCGCTGTGCCGTGAATTGGGACTAAGGCAGCGTTCAGACTTCGCGACGGCAGCGCTTTAGTTGCGCGATCCGACGATCGATGCGCATGCTTTCAACTGCATCAATCGCGTTGAACGCGCGACCGAAGAGCTGCCATCGGGAAGACTGAACGCTGCCTAACAGCGTATACC